TCTTTCCTTCATGTACCTCCTCCACATTTATGTTCTTGACAGGAAGATGGGAGTAGCTTCCCATCCCACACGATGCTGAGGACATTTGGTATCAAACGTTATGAAATTAATTCACCAGATTTTAGAGATAGAAGAAAACTTGGAGATGATCCTGTTCCATTATCTTCTTGTGTTGGGCCAGCATGGCCATGGGTGAGCCTGAACTCAGGCCCCTGTTCCTCATACTCAGTCCCACGGGGCGCCATGTGCCGCGCCAGCATGGCTTGGGGTGAACCTGAGAGAGGGCAGTGAAGGATTTAGAAAAGACAGACAAGAGAAGAAAGCTGGTGGTCTAGGTGAGACACTGCTCTCTCTGATGGAGAGACAGTGCCATCGCCTGAAAGCTGAGTCTTTATTTTATAGCCAGATTCCACGAGGCAAAGTAAGGGCGCGTTTCATTGTTCTCATGGGTTTCAAATCTACTCAGTTACATACACTGGATCAAACTTTGTTTACTTGCTGCACCTCCCACAGCCCATCTCACTTAGCCATGTGGGACCACAGGTTTGGACCACAAGGTCAAGCTTACAACGTTAGCCTTTGGCTATAATTGTGTTGGGACTTACACGTGGCTTTACCATGAGAGGGTCGTGCCCTTTCATTAGTCCCAGGCTTGAACCTGTCCAAACGCTGTAGCTGCTCTCCACACTTACAAGAATAAACTTGAACTTTGGAGACGTTAAGTAACTTGCTTTCTTAACTGCACACTTGAAATTGTTTTCTTGGGGACACTGAGGTTCTTTGCAGCACTTGGAAGGGAGTCAGGGACTTGGATTGTCCTAATTCTGGCACCAAAGTTGGACAAGCCACTTATTCTCCAGAACACAGTTTCCTCATTTCAGATATGAGGGGGATTTCTGAATGGCTTAAAAGGACCTTTCTAGCTTTAAAATGGTGTGATTCTAAGTGCAGGCTTCCTGAAATATGTTTAGCAGGATCCACCAACAAGATTATTGAAGTTGTCTTAATGAAAGCATCTCTGTGTTCTGGATAGCTACCATGTTTATGGACTGTGGTAGGTAGGAGTTGCGTAGAATACAGACGGTCTCTGTAAATGATGGGGCGTGTACACACAGGAATATAACGAGCTCACTAGGATAGCAGATAATACTGAGGGTATGAGGCACAAGAGGCCTCTTGGAATAGGTGGAACCTGAGGCTTAAAGGTCAGAGGTTGTGTGCAAATGATGTGGATTGAGATGGTTTAAAAAAATAATCTAATGGTTTGTTAGTATTTTTTGAATAGTTAATCTGTTTCATGGAACTTTTTATTGAAAAGTAAAACAAACAGTTATCTAGTGTGTTACCATGAATCTTATATCAGCAAAATCTGACTTGCTTATAAATAATTATGACTGTGTGTGAGATAGAACTTATTTGATAGTTTGTAAACAGTATTAAGGCCCAGTATACTTTTTACAGAGATACTAGGAATGTGCCCCAGCTGGTTAAAAAGTGAAGACTTTAGGCCAGAGTGGGGGACCTTTTTTCTGCCAAAGGTCATCTGGATATTTATAACATCATTCGAGGGCCATACAAAATTATCTTAAAAATTAGCCTGCTGTATTTGGTCAAACATTTAACTAACTCACCCCTAAGGTCTTGGCAGGGCCAGAGCAAATGATTTTGCACCCCTGCTTAGGCCATCAAATACTAGTAGTTTTGTCAATGAAATGGCAGAACTGATTAATGACTAATTATTTACCAAATGACTTAAATTACTAAATTCTGTACTTTTTTTTCATTAAGTACAGAAAACTAAACAAGAAAACTAAAAGTAATTCTGAGATGCTGTTGCCATCATATTAATAACTGCTTCAGTTACGATGATTGACAGTACTAGAATTGACAAATTCTAGTACTTCTTTAATCATGTCTTGGGATTAGCAGTTGTCAGCAGTTGAACTTGAAACAGATTCAGTTACGGGAGTGGACACTGACCCAGACATTTAATGCTACTTTCACCTGTAGGTTAGAGAGAGGAAAAAAGGCACGAGAGACCATTATTTATGGGGTCATGTGAACTTCAAGTCTGTCCTCATCATTAAGAGAAGCTATAGTTTAAAGTGAAAGAGACAGGAAATACACTTTCATGAAATGTGCTGTTGCTCTTTGCCTCAGACCCAGGAGTCTCATGTCTCCTACCAGGAGGCTAACTGTGGCAGGCTCACTGTTAAAATCTCAGAGCCTTTACAGTTTGTGGCAGGAGTTGTGTCCCCGGGAGGGAGGGACGGTATGCACTATGGCACAGCGGCATGAGAAATCACATCTCCTGTGGGGAACCATAACTAGTTCTCTATCTTCAGACCCAAAAGGTGCATGAAGGAGGGTGCTTGAGGGGAGCATATATAGTTGGGCCATATTCCAAAGAGACCTTATATACCATGTAGAAGACTTCAGATGTTATGGGGCAATTATTAAGAAATTATTAGCAGAGGAGTGACATGATCAATTTTGTGTGTTTGTTAAATTACTCTAGGAAATATGTGACGGAGGGATTGAAGGTTGGGGCTCTTTTACTCCAGTTGAGAAAAGATAAGACATATTTAAATATGTCTTAGACATAGTGGTAAGATGAAGAAGGAATCTGAATGATTCATCTTAGTTTATAACAGCATACCATAGACTGGGTGGTTTATAAACAACAGAAATTTATTTCTCACAGTTCTGGAGGCTGGGAAGTGCAAGATCAAGGTGCAGGAAGATTCGTGTCAGGTAATGGCCCACTTCCTGGTTCATGCCATCTTTTTCTGCACCCTCACTTGGTGGAAGGGACAAAAGAGCTGTCTGGGTCTCTGTTATAAGGGCACTAATTCCATTCATGAGAGTTCTGCCCTCATGATCTAATCACTCCAGAAAGGCCCAACCTCCTAAAATCAGCACATTGAAAATTAGGATTTCAACATATGAGTTTGGGGAGAGGGGATACAAATGACTCCTTGGCTGTGGCTTAGCCAATAACATAAACATTGACGCTGGTCACAGAGATATAACTTATAGGAAGGAAGAGAAGTTTTGGGAAGCGGAAAGGGGAGAGGTGAGACTGAGTTCGTTTTAAAATAACTAAGTTGAGACTGAGGTGCCTACAGGCTACCCAGATAGAACTATTTAATGGCTTGTACGGATCTGGAATTCTTTGAGGTTCAATGGGAGATGAACACTGGGAATCCCCAGGGTGTTGTGGTAGATGCCTTTTTGTGCAGCACTCAAGAGGAGGGGTTGAGAGTGAGGTGTGGACTCTCACGTCACCTGTGACAAATGACTCAAGCTCTCTAGGCCTCAGTTTCCTAGGCCGTAAAAAGTGGCAAGAATAGTAGTCTCTCACTGAGGTGAAGGGTGTTATGAAGATGAAATAACACATGCAGAGTGCCGGTACTTAATAAAAGTAAGTTGTTAGCAGCAGCTGCAGGATTATTGGAATGTGGTTGTTGACACCAAGATATTAGGTATCAACAGCCAAGAGCATGCAGGTAGAATGAGGGGAACCGAGAAAGAAAGTCATCACAGAATCTGAAAAGAAGCACTTTTCAGAGGTTAAGATAGAGAACCACAAGTCTTAAGCAGGAAGGGGAGTGGTCAGCATTGAGAAATTCATCAGATAGGACAAGACAGTTGAGAACTGAAAAGTCCCCTTTGGATTTCACAACCAGAGCATGTGGGTGAACTTACCAGGAGCAATGTGCTTCTAGTCACAGTCCAGATATTGTGGATGGACAGTGGGCAGTGGAGACCTTGTAGATTTTATCTTGAAGAAATTTGTGTAGACAAGTAAGAGTTGTGGCTGGGGGAGGTTTGAGGTCAAGGGGAAATATCTTTATTTTTAGGATGGAAGAGTCTTCATTCACTACTTTAAAATATTTATTGAACCTATTCTGAGTCAGGCGCTATGCCAGGCACCAGGGATAGAATGGTGAATCAGATAGACGTGACCCCTGTCTTTATCGAGTTCCTCCACAGCATGTGTATACACGCTCAGGAAATACATGGGAGAATGACTAGCCAGGGGCAAATGAGTAGAGAATAGGGCTTCAGGTGCTGTAGACCAATCAGCTCTGAACAGAAGGGTTTCATCATCCAATGGAACAAGCAGATGTTAGGATGTATCAGATATGGTTGCTGAAAATCACCCATATGGAAGTTGAAGGTTTGAGTCTGGTAGAAGCCACATCCTCTACTGATAAGGACGGGAATGGGATGATGGCTTACGTGAATGAAACAAAACGATATTTATGACAGTGTTTGGAACATAATGGGCACCAAGTACCTGTTAATAGAATTTGAGTTTGTGATTCAAAATCTCTGAAGCATGCCAGGGAGAGACTTTTAAACTTCAAGTGGTATCATAAGCAATAGATAAGGTGTTAAAACCGGTCTGGTTCA